CCCTGCAGCAGGCACTCCTCTCCCTCCTGGTACCCCCACCATTCCTCTGAGTCAGTTGCAACAGCACTCCTTGGCCCTCCAGGGGCAGCATGGTCAGGCCCTGGCCGTCACCCCACAGCCACAGCAGGGACAGCAGGCTGTCTTCCGCTTCCCTGCTGCTGTCTCCCTCACAGGTGACATGCTCTGCATGCTGCCACGACTGTGCGTGTCCTGTGCTAATCATGTCTTCATAAACCTTCTGCTGCTAGCACTGCTAACGCTCCCTTTTCTGCTCTATAATCATGCACCTAATGCTTGCAGATGCTGCTTGCATGACCTCTACCTCGTCTACCATTCGCTGTCCCCACTGCTGCACCCCTCATCCCTAACACACTACTGCAGCCCTTCTGGGCCTGGGCGAGGTGTTTGATGACTTACCGTAGTGGCTTTTTGCCCACTGTGTCTCTCCAGGCCCAGGGGTACCCCAGCAGCTCCAAGCTATCCAGGTCCATCCTAACACCCAGCCCACCTCCAACAGTGACAGCAGCCCTGAGATCTCCCACACCTCTACAAACTCCACCGGTAGGCCAACCACACAGACACACACGTGTCTTTCAGGCAGATTTACGTGTTCCAAACAGGGTTTGTAGATTTTCTTAGTGAACCAAAGTTTAACAAAAACTGCACACTGGTCCCACAACATTAAAACTACAGTGTACATAATTATTCCCATCATGATGGCGAGTGGAAATGGGATCCCTTTGTGAGTTTTTGATTGTTAATTTTTAGTAAGAAAATCCTTTAAGGTCATAATATGTTGTGTTCTTACTGTGTGCACTGTTTGTTTTTGCTCTCCTCTTGTTTGGATGAGTTGATTCCCAGAGGACGGAGTAATATTGCCACTCTACATTGCATGAGTAGGAGTTCGCAGTTGAATTTGGATAGATATGAAGTGCCATCTGCTGGCCAGTGTGCGTAAACACCACTTAACCCATTGAATGACGCTTCCCTCCCTTTCTGGCTCTTCTTGCAGCCACAGTAAGTCTCCCAGCAACCATTGTCACTTCATCAGTGCCAACGTCTGTGGCAGGTCACATGATGTACCCCAGCCCACACACAGTGATGTACGCCTCCACGCCCACGCTGGCAGACGGCGGGCTGGCTGTGCTCAACGCCTTCTCCCAGGGGACCTCGGCAATGCAGGTGTCCCACGCACAAGCCCAAGACACAGGTGAGGCTCCGAGCACACACAGCTTCCTGAGTGGCTCATGTGGATTGCATTGTAATTAAAAAAAAAGAATAAACAAATAATAATAAACAAGGCGTCCCACCCTTTTTTTTCTTTCTTTCTTCACATAGGTGGTGTCCCTCAGGTGTTCCTCACAGCACCTCCAGGCACGGTGCAGATCCCTGTCTCAGCAGTGCAGCTACACCCAGTACGGCAAGATCTGCATTTTACAAGTGAAACTCTCAAATTCCCTACGCAACCAGCATGCCATGTGACCGCACTAATGCATCCTAACAGAGCACTGGCACTCAGGAGGCCACAGGCTCGATTGAGCCCTGTGGCCCTTGTTTTTTTGAATGAAAGCTGGCATAGTGTCTTACTTGTTTTCTACACATGCTATAGACTCAAAACCACCTTGTCAGTGCATGGAAACCAGAACTTGAATATTTACGAGTTTATTGATGTCATTTTATATCAAATTAATCAGTATTTTATACTATATGCAGATGGGAAAATCCCCCCACTGAACTGGAATAGGTGAAATAGTCCTTTAATTGGATCTAACGTCTGCTAATAGATAAGATCGCAGCCTACACACATAACGAGAGAAAACATCAGCATCTGTTGCAGCATCACTCTGTGATAAATGGCATGCACTTTAGCGGGATCTCCATCTGCGCTGCGCGCTGTGTGATGTGATGATGTGCGACTGGCTGTCTGATGTAGTGTCTCCTGACATCGCTCTGTTGCCTTGCAGATGGTGATTGGCCAGCAGTCGAGCGGCAGCAGCAGTAACCTGAC